GTTATTTGAAGCGAGATAGTTGTGTTTGGTTCTTGATCATGGTAAATAACGTGTTCCTAGTGTGATTCAAACATTAATCCCGCCCAAATATCGTGAAATTTGGCCTTTAGCGTATATAAATAGTGACTAACAAAGAGATAACCGGAGATGAACGGAAAAGTCTTAGGAATTTCTCAGATTTCCTAATTGTTTTGGTGCATACGTACGTGTACCTTTTAAGAGTCTTCTGGAGAGGTAAAAAATTGGACTTGAGTTAGTTCGTCTAATATGTTTATCGTGTTGTTCTGCTTGAACCAATATGACTTTCCACCGTGCATAAAAGAAAGTTTCTCTTTTGTAATCTTAGTTATAAGTAGGAATTCACTAGGGTTAGCTGGTATTGCGTTGTTCCAAATGTATCTAAATTGGATGTTTCTATTCATTCACAAAAATAATATCGAGATAGAAAGTGTTATGGGTTGAAATTGTCGTTACTTATATAGGTCGTGCCATTGGGTGCAAAAATACATAGTTTTGATGTGCTCCCAGATGTTATGCTCTGTCGATTATCAATTTTCGCTCCATGAATTGTGACAATAAGAGAATACCAATGCTCTTTGGATTGTAATTGCTCTGCAATAATTTACGACCTAAGTTAATGAAATCTTCTCGAGTTCTCGTAATATTGGACCACTCTACTCTAAGATGTCGTGACAAAACGTAGAAATATATTGATAACACATATTCATGCTTTCTTAATTACGTTCATCATCACGTGCAATTAACGTGTAGATCATTGCTTTTCCCTTGTGATTTGCATGATTACCTCCTATGATGTGTTAAAACTGAAAAAATTTGTCATTTCCCATGTTGATCTCTGTAAGTAGAGATGAGTGTTATGGATGAGTGCTTTTGAGAGGATACTGTTCCAATTAAGGCAATGGCATACTGTATATGTACATATTCAGTTGTCACATTGATTTTAGAACAATGTTTGTTGTCGAGAGATTTAGCGAGGAAATTGCTCACAATGAACTTAAAAGGAACATTGTTATTTTGTCTAATAACATATATGGTAATACTTATTAATTCTGTTACTTTCAACAATTTTGGTAGTTAGTGTATATATATGTTTCCGGATAGATGGATTAGATCTGAATCTTTTCCGAATATGAAGTGTAAATAATACTCCCGCGTATAATAAGGTTGGCTACTGAATGTCATGTTTGTGTCAAACGAAATAAAGAGTTTCCAAAATTTTTGAGCATGATTGGTGATTATGTCGTCTATCGGTTCCACGGAAAAGTAGCATTCTAAATAACCACAGTTAAGTGTCATTGGCAGCACCGAGTTACGCTTTCATTAAATTACGTGATTTCTCTAAGAGGTTAATCTCGTTGTGATCTTGTGATATGGGTTGTGTAAGTTTTTAGGAAGTCGCTCAGTGTGCTATCTCTGAATCTTGTTGACTCATTTCCTCAAGCTTACCATTAGCAATTCTCTATGCAATAGTTGATTACACTAAAGAGGCATTGGTTATATGAAACTTGGAATCTCGCCTGAGACTAATTTAGTCATATCCTAAGAATTGACTCTATCTTTAGTGTATGAACTATGATAAACTAATATTTTTTTAATTTTAATCACTTTCTTTGTCTAGCATAGAAGACAAACTGAATATACACTATTTCATGTTTCTCAAATTCTCCCATAAAAACTCAAACAATATGACATCAATGTTTCCAATGTTCTCTATGGCTTGATTGGAGGAGTAAATTATGATATTATATTTATATAACCATAATTTTTCATCTAAAAATCTCATAATTCAGCAACAAAATCACACACAGCTAAACAAGAGAGCACACGCATCAATAGTGATTAAGATAATCTCATCATATTTTTTTGGTGAAATACACAACTCTGGCGCCATGCATTCTTGATCCTGCAATGTTGGAGTGCCCTTTACAAGCTTGTCCATACAACCGTTTGACACAGTATCAAATTCAATGTTAACCATCTAAAAAAAGACATGTCTTAGTTATTTTATCTGATTGTTCTTATCATGCTTATACTTGTTAATTTAGATTAAACCAAAATACGCTGAATTTGCATTATGCAGAACTTTTGATATTCATATAAAAAATGTGTGAGCTATCTTGATAGACCATTTTTTTTATCAAAATCTCTTTTGTCTTGGGTTTAATTTGGATCATCTATTAATTACCTATTTTCTCTGAAATATCCATTACAAAAGAGTTTATATTATTACTCTATATACAGATCAGCTGGATGGATCCGTGACCTACTTGTGGAGAATACTCCAGATTATACGGTAGCAGTGAGAATTCAGAAATTAAAGACAAAGGGCAAAAAGTTCAAAAGATACAAGAATATGAACCAATTTTTGACCGTGTCATATTTACTGTCTTACTATTGTAATTCGCTTATAAGATCCAGTATACCTTAAATTTGATAGGTCTATTTGGGCAGAAAATTGATAGAAGACATAGAAAGCTGTAACCTGCGACTCTTTGGAATGTTCAATAGGGCTGGTTGTTTTGGTGATCTGTATATCAATTCATTAAAATCTCATCTAATGGTTGATTAGGTTTACAAGATGTAATTTGCGCCTTGCGTGGCACGTAGACGAGTTTACCGAAACAAACAAATATCACCAAACATGATAAATCTGTGATTGGATTAACAATTTTTTTTTTTTAAAAGATTTTTCAAAGTAGTGATTCAAGGACACACGAAGTATTCTGTGATACTGCTAAGGGGTTAGCCTCCTTATCAATATTTGTTCATTTTGGCTATAATGTTTTTGCAGTGGTTTTTTTTCTTGATAATAAATTGTTATCATGTTTAGTCAAGTCAATTCAATTTCTTTGCTTAGTCATAGTAATGTGTTAGTGTTTCTGTAGATCTTTCTATTATTGATCATCTGACTAATATGCTTTTTGATAATCTATATGAACTTATTCTAATCTAGTTTATGTGTTCACTTTACCATTTCTGGAATCTGTTTCCAGCAGCACACCATCTCTGATAATACTCTCGCATTTCTTTCTTAATAGACATCTAAAGTGGTAATCCGATTATGATGAACCTTAAAAGGATATATAAGAGCTATGAAAGGGAGACATAATATAATTGGATCTGAAATGTTTTTGATTAAAAACAAATGGGGTTTTAAAACAAATATTGTTTTGACACACATGTGCTTTAGGTATTTCATATTTTAATTGCATTGGTGATTGGTTAGCAACACTAAGTATCTCTTTTGACTTATGAAAATATTTAGTAGGAATTAACCCTTCTTGAATACAATTCAAGTCTGCACCGGAATCAAATCAAAGTAATTGTTTCTAAATGAAAATCTTCAACTATTATTTTAATTTTTTAGAAATACCATTTCTGGATTCTTATCTTGTCTAAGAGACCTAAGACTAAGTCTTATGTGGTGGATGTATTACCTGCATTCAAGACTGAGCACTTCTGGAATGCCTTGGAGTGATGATTATCTTCGCTTCTTCTTTCAAATATCACTTTGCGAATCCATGATATTGAAAATCAATAGAAATGTTGATCCTTTGCATTTGATTGTGTGTGGGACTCCACATTATTCTCTGAGTATTACAGTTGTTATAGAAGCTTACTACACGTATATTAATTACAGGTGTCTTTATAATATTTTAGATTCTATCTGATCGTTTTAGGTACATTTCTCTCGGAGAGAGTTGTTTCTTTTAGCTACATATGTCATTTCTTCCTTTAACCGAATAAGATCTTATAATCCACCTCTCTGCCAATAATATGCTAATGAGGAAAGATATTAATGTGGAGATAGTTTTGGTGAACGAAGATTGTGCTTAAGGTCGCACCTCTTGTGTCACAGGGCGCAAGAATGGTAGCATAATGGAGTGTCTTTTAAGTTGTTTCGGAGAATTAAAAATAGCTGCATTTTGTAATATCAGTGGGTCATGATCTGGAGCTCTCGTTAATATGTGATGTTCAATTAATTAAGAAGATTTAATACTTGATTCTTCAACGTTCATAAGTTCTTCAATACTCAACGAAATCTAGTGATTCAAAAACGAAAATCATACTTCTCGACGAGATGAAGAGATGATACCTTTCTCAATGGATAGCTTGTCATGGTTTGGGCGGAAAACGGTTCGAAAGTGGCTAACTCAACGACCAAGACAACCACTTTCGAGCCGTTTTTTGGACAAACCACGACGAGTTAGCCTTTGAGAAGGTACCATTCTCTTCATCTCATCAATAAGTATGATTTTTGTTTTTGAATCACTCAATTTCGTTGAGTATTGAAGAAGTTATGAACGTTTAACGTTTACCCAGTTTCCAGCGAGTTTTCCAGTTTTCCCGCGGAATAGTCACATTTCAGGCACCATTGGGCTTCCAAATTGATATAATCTTGTTCTACACTTTCCTACACTTTTCTATCTTCATTTTGATATATTATGGGTCGAATTTGGTTAAGAAACGATTGAGTTATGAAGCTTTGAAAATTGCCCAAACTTTCGGCCAAGAGCTCCGAGACACTTAACGGAGTTTTTTAATGGAAGGACCAAAATAATGAATGGTGGACAATCTCATGGAACATTTCTATTGATTTTCAATCTTAGGGACCAAAGTGATGTATTATGCAAATCTCAGAGAACATTTTAGATAAAAAGCCAAATATAAATAAAAGACAATATGTTCATCGCGTGATGCCTCATGCCCGATGCATTGACTGATGGTAGGTACTCGGTACAGTATTGGTTTATGCAAATACTGTCTAGAGAGTAGACAAGTTAAAATTGGGGTGGCAGGGAATCCAATTTCTGGTTGTTGGAAAAAGGACTTCCTTGTTAGTGTAAGAGGAAGCTGCATGATGAGACCTTCTTTCGTCCATAGTGTAAAACAAGGCCTTGAAAACTCATGATTTCTAAAGAAAATGAAAATGAGATATAAAGAAAGAGAGAAAATGAGAAATGAGAGAGAGAGAGAGAGAGAGAGAGAGAGAGAGAGAGAGAGAGAGAGAGAGAGAGAGAGAGAGAGAGAGAGATGGAAGAGAGAGAAGAGAATGTGGGCATGAAATCCTTGAGTAAATCAGGTAGTAGTCCTCCTCCTTCAGGTTCAAATCCACGGTGGATGCAACATTACTGGCCGTCGGTGAAGCCATTTGTGTACGGTGGAGCTGCTGGGTTTTTTACAAGTTTCCTCGCTTTTGCCAGTTCGGCCACCCTCTTCTATTCCCCATCTCCAGACATTGTCGCTCGCTTTCAAAACACTCCCACATTCCATTTGTTTTCCAAAGAAAACATCAAGGTTCCAATTTCCAACCCTAGCTGTTTTTTATTTTTGTTTATTTATTTGAGAACTAGCTAGCTAGCTAGCAAATAAATAAGTTGCCTAATTATCTCATTTCGACCTATGAAAAAGCTTGGTTTTTTTTTTCTCCCTAATTTTGACAAGGCCCTGATGATCTGATCTGTGACAAAATGCCTGATGTGGTTGAAAATGAGTTTCGGAGTCTGAGCAGTTCTGTATATTCATTACATATAAATAATTTATAGGAAGTTTTAACAAAACATTCTCGGTACTGTTCACTTTTAACGAAAAACCACATTTTTACCTTTAAAAATGACTTTTTATTAAAACGGAGGTTTTTTTGGACTTTTCGTTAGTTTTCCTTAATTTATATTGAAATGTTAATTTAATTTATGATATCAGTTGCAATCTATCTTCAATATTAATAACTTTAAATTGGTTGTTCTTAGCAGATTATTCCTCGTGTGATTTTGGCTAATACTTTCATTGCGTCTCAACTACTTGGATTATTCGAGTAAGTGTATATTTTACTAAATTTAGAACTAGCCCTGCCAGTACCAATACCACCAATATAAACACAATATATGTAAAGACTCGATGACTCCTCGAGAACTCCTCATTTTGTACTCAATTTTCTTCAAGTTTGATTTCATTTGTTGACATGGTTGATTGTTCAGGGTACAAAATGAAACCTTTTGATACTCAATGAGTCAATTAAAAGTTTAAGCTCTAAATAATGATTCAACACCCTAGAACAATCTAGCGTGTGAACAGAGATTTGAGTAGAACTGAGGTTGATTTTCTCTTGGTCAAAGCTAGTTGGTATCCTGGGCTCCAATTAATAACCTGACTATTTTGATTGAATTTCTTTTTTCCTCTCAAAAGTGAATTTGGTTTAATTACATTATTTAGGATTCTGAGAAGGAAAGCAATTTCTACGAACGATGGAATGCCACCAATGTTACATCAGGAAGCTGCTTGTGGGCTGGCTGCTGGAGCAGTTGCAGCATGTATTAGGGTTCCATTGTATTTGCATGTAGGATACTATAGAGCTAAAATTGGATCACCTAACTTTTTTGCAAAGCCTTGGACATTGGCAGATTTAGCTAGGTACCCAAAAATATGGACAAAAGGAATGGGTCCTTATGTGAGGTCAAGAACCAGCTTAGACTTCGGTATGCTTGCCTCCTATAATCCAAGTCTCCGTTATCTCAAGGAATCCTGTGGTTTCAGCCAATCTGACGCACAATTCGGTACATTCTTAATTCTTTTTTTTCTTTCTCAAAACTATACTTTAATAAAAATTGAAGATATTGAATATATATGGTCGATCATGCACATCTTATATCTTAAAACTGAACACTCGTATTCCAGTAACACTAACTTTTCGAACTGATGATGAACATTATATTAAATAGTTTCGAGTTTTACTGTATCAATTAATTAGTTGCGGTGTTTAACTTTTAATTATTGACTCAGGTGCTAGTGTTATATCAGGTTTGTGTGCTGCAGCATGCGAATCAGCGTTTCGAAATGTTAGCTCCCTGGATTCCGCACTTAAACTTCTAAAATCAAGAGGACCCCTTGCATTCTGTACTGGGATTCCTTCTTCTTTAGTCATTTATGCACCTAATGTCATGGTAACATCTCTCTCAAACATGCAATTAATAATGCGCACAACTTTATTTATCCATCTATATTTTTTTCACTTCAAATTGAGTATTTTACAATTTTTTACGCACAATATGTACGTAGTTCCAGAATGTTAAACATGAGAGTGCCGGGACAGGAGCGCTGGAGCTTCCGTTGGCTTTGTGTAATTGGTTGATTACGTGATGTTGGTGCATTGTTTTGCAGGTAACATGGGCTGTTTTAGAAGAAATCAGGAAACAAGGAAAGTCAATAGGAGGATAGATATTCTAGTCAAGTTCCTAAAATGATGAGATCTGAAGTTGGTTTGGCCATATTGTATCTGCAGACACTGCTTCTTGAACGCATTCAGATTTGAAAACTGATTGGATTTTTGAATATTATTGTATTAATTAGGTGGAAGCATAACTTCTGTTAAATTAATGGTACTTCTACATTATATATGTATGGCTATATATATCTTTTGAACATGGACAATTTTTATATCTTCATCTTGGACTCTTATCTACATCTTGGATCCGTTGCCTTGGAGAGAGAGATTTTGGTGTCACGAGGTGTATATCCGCTTTGTTGCTTGTCTCTCTGCTCACACGTCACGTTGCATGTCAAATGAGGATGCATACGGATTCCGGAAAAGATGTTGATTGATTTTAGTGTTAAAGCTCTAACATGACAACTTTGTATACTATAAAAATGGAACCAAGATCCATGGGATTAGGATGCCATGACATACATTTCAGACATCTAACTTATTCCGAAATAGTAGGCAAAGTGTTAAAAAAAATGCAAGAACCGTTCATATATAATTGCCTACTATGTTGTTAGTAATTTCCAAAAAAATAATTTAAGGCTTCAGGGTCTACTCTTTTCTAGATCCTTTTTTTACATGCATTTTGCCAACACTTTGCCTACTATTTCAGAATAATTTAGAAGCGAGACTAGTGTCGGAGCTAATAGTGATGTTTTAGCGTGCCACAAGGCGAGGGTTAGGGTATCAAAGTGTTAGAAAAATGCATGGTATGACACGCTAGCCTTCACATCTTGGCATGCCAAAACATCATTGTTGGCCCCGACATGACAAGCGTCGCTAATTGTCGGCAAAATGCATGTCATGACATGCCATGCATTATGTCGACTGTTTGCGAGGCTTGTTATGGCGTGCCATGGTGGGAGGGTTAACATGTTAAGACAAGTAATGGCTTGTTAAGACATGTGACATGTCATCACATGCACCAACAACGATGTTTTGGCATGTCACGATGTGAGGGTCAGTGTGTCAAAGTGTTAGAAAAATGCATAACTGACTTAGTACAAGTGCCTTGGTAGATTTTCCTTTTGTCAAAATTAAGGTGTAATTTGCAGTCTTTCCATCTAGCTAAATATGCATCATGCAACTCTTTTATTTTAAGCATTTCTTTATATATGCCAATACGTGTCTTCAAAATATCCACAATCTGAGATTCTGCCACTGGAAAATAAACATAATGCGAGAATTAAGGCTAGAGTATTCCAGTCTACTATTCCAGTTACAATCAAGTCGTTGCATACGTACGTACCTTCTTTTAAGTCTTCTGGAAGGGAAAAGAATTCCGCAAATGATCTTGTACGCGGAGATAATAATGTTTCTTTTTGGTAATCAAATGAAGCATTACTGAGATTAGCTTTCAAAAAGATCCATAGATCTTCTTCACATCATCAGGTGTTAGGTTGAAATTGTGCTTTTCATTGATAATATTCACCAGATGCTCTGCGATCTCATTTGCCATGAAATCAACAAGAGGTCCACCCTTGATTGTATTGAATAAATTCACAAAGGTGACCTGCTGTGGCAATCGGAATACTAGAAGTCTGCAACGAGATGTACATAAGCCTCACTCATTGGCGTACATGTAGTCAAGCTTTCCTTTTGATGTCATGTTTCATTTCCGCTTTGTTTTGTGAGTATGAAGGGGATGTCATGCAATAGGGATACAGGTCTTATTTAACTAGTTCTTGGTCTAGTGACATTTTTTTTCGAAGCAGATATGTTAAAACTTGTATTAATTTTTGCTAAGATTAGAATCTTATTTACTTCATTATGTTTGTATTTCGGAAATTCAAACCAAATCTGAATGTAAAAGATACTGCCGCGTATCATAAGGTTGGCCACTGATGTCATATTTCAAATTAACAAGGTTCCAACATATTGGATGGGATATGCTCTATCGTTCCACGAAAGCCTTCATACCAGAGTCTCATTGGCAGCACCGGGTCACCTTGCATTAGACGTATAAGGTTATCAATGATCTCTGTTGGGTTATAATTAGGAACGTGTGTTCTCCATCCCATCCCAATTCCTTTTACAATCATTACCAAGAACCATTGGTTATATTGGAAACTACCTGTACGACAAAACCCATTTGATCGTCTATATAAACTATCTATTAATACAACTCTCTTTGTCAACTAAAAGATAAATTTCATTTTTCATCACAAAATAAAATCATGAACAGTAATATGATATATTTTTTTTAACATTTTTACATCTTCATATATATCGATTTGGTTGGTTTCCAGAAAAGCCAATACTGAAACCGAATCAAGCAAAACCCTTATAATGTGATTTGGTTCAGTGTCAGTTGGCCGGTTTGGAACTAGGGATGGGCAATGGTTATGCGGGCGGGTAACCGCGGTTAATTTACCCATAACCGTTTATGCTCATACCCGCATAACCGTTTACCCGTTGGGTAATTGCCTAAACGGTTATACCCATACCCATAACCGTTTATAAACGGTTAACCATACCCATAACCACATACCCATTTAACCGTAACCGTTTAATACCCGTTTACCCATTTATAATTTTTAACCCGTTTATCTTTTTTTTTTACCATTACCCTTTTTTCACACGTCTACATGTTTTTTAACAACTTGAAAATTAAAAAAAAATTGTCATAATATTTTTTTTTAACAATTAAACACCGTTATAGGTACATTCATCATACATTTCCATATTTTAATTTTTTTAAGTCCTTATACCATTCCAATAATTGAAATAATAGTTTACGAACGATATTTGTAATTGTTACCAATGAAGGTAAATATAATATTTGCTAAGTATTATTAGGTTACAAAAATTGTGTAGAAGACATTTCTGTCAATTTCACGGTTACCCGCAATGAATTTAAATTAATTTGGCCAATTCCTTGATGATGAGAACTTGATGATGAGAATCATCATTCCTGTAGTAGTGTTATTGAGAGAATGACCGATGAATTCCTTGCTAATTTATTGGATGCTAAGTATTATTTGATCGAGAACATGGTTTGTGTTAATTTTACATATATAAAATAAATGGGTAAACGGTTACCCGTTTATAACCGTGGTTAATACCCATAACCGCCCATTTAAATTTCGCGGGTAAACGGTTATACCCATAACCGTTTATTTATCTAAACGGTTACCCATAACCGTAACCGTTTAATTTAAATGGGCGGGTAACCGCGATTACCCATAACTAATGGGTATTTGCCCATCCCTATTTGGAACTCAGCCCAATTACTGTTGTCATTTGCAATTTTTCAGGGTTTTTTTTTTCTTGACAAAGATTGTTATTTGACAAAGATTGTTATCATGTTAGTCAAGCCAATTCTAGGGCATGCTGGATTCCATTTGCTATTTGCCACTGAATTCTGTAGGGTGTAGGTGTGGAACCAAATCACAAATTTGAAAGGATCGAAATATAAATAAAAGACAATATGTCCATCGCGTGATGCCTGATGCATGACTGATGGTAGGTACTCGGTACAGTATTGGTTTATGCAAATACTCTCTAGAGAGTAGACAAGTTAAAATTGGGGTGGCAGGGAATCCATTTTCTGGTTGTTGGAAAAAGGACCACCTTTGTTAGTGTAAGAGGAAGCTGCTTGATGAGACCTTCTTCCTTCCATAGTGTAAAACAAGACCTTCTTCCTTCCATAGTGTAAAACAAGGCCTTGAAAACTCATGATTTCTAAAGAAAATGAAAATGAGAATATAAAAGAGAGAGAGGGAGAGAGAGAGAGGGGGAGAGAGAGAGAGAGAGAGAGAGAGAGAGAGAGAGAGATGGAAGAGAGAGAGGAGAATGTGGGCATGAAACCCTTGAGTAAATCAGGTAGTAGTCCTCCTCCTTCAGGTCCAAATCCACGGTGGATGCAACATTACTGGCCGTCGGTGAAGCCATTTGTGCACGGTGGAGCTGCTGGGTTTTTTACAACCTTCACCTATTTTGCCCATTCGGCCACCCTCTTCTATTTCCCATCTCCAGACATTGTCGCTCGCTTTCAAAACACTCCCACATTCCATTTGTTTTCCAAAGAAAACATCAAGGTTCCAATTTCCAACCCTAGCTGTTTTTTATTTTTGTTTATTTATTTGAGAACTAGCTAGCTAGCAAATAAATAAGTTGCCTAATTTATCTATTTCGATCTATGAAAAAGCTTCGTTTTTTTTTTCTCCCTAATTTTGATAAGGCTATGATGGATCCTAGGATTCCGTGATTATGACCGTTTATCGTATATCTCAGTTTTCGTTAGGTACTATTTATATTTAATTTTAAATTTTAAATTTGAAATGATTTATGACCGTACGATGTATGATGAGCGATCATGATCACAGGATCCCTAGCATATTCAGGAAAAGAATCCGACGAGGATCCTTTTCCGGCTCTGATGATCTGATCTGTGACAAAATGTCAATTGGTTGTTGTTAGCAGATTATTCCTCGTGTGATTTTGGCTGATACTTTCATTACGTCTCAACTACTTGGATTATTCGAGTAAGTATATATTCTACTAAATTTTTAGAACTAGCCCTGCCAGTACCAATACCACCAATATAAACACAATATATGTAAAGACTCGAGAACTCCTCATTTTGAACTCAATTTTGTTCAAGTTTGATTTCGTTTATTAACATGATTGATTGTTTAGGGTACAAAATGAACCCTTTTAATACTCAATGAGCCAATTAAAAGTTTAAGCTCTAAATAATGAGAAATCTTTCTTGGTCAACAGAGATTGAGTAGAACTGAGGTTAATTTTCTCTTGGTCAAATCCAGTTGGTATCCTGGCCTCCAATTAACCTGACTATTTTGATTGAATTTCATTTTTCCTCTCAGAAGTGAGTTTGGTTTAATTACTTTATTTAGGATTCTGAGAAGGAAAGCAATTTCTACCAACGACGGAATGCCACCAATGTTACATCAGGAAGCTGCTTGTGGGCTGGCTGCTGGAGCAGTTGCAGCATTTATTAGGGTTCCATTGTATTTGCATGTAGGCTACTGTAAAGCTAAAATTGGATCGCCTAACTTTTTTGCAAAGCCTTGGACATTGGCGGGTTTAGCTAGGTACCCAAAAAGATGGACAAAAGGAATGGGTCCTTATGTGAGGTCAAGAACCAGCTTAGACTTCGGTATGCTTGCCTCCTATAATCCAAGTCTCCGTTATCTCAAGGAATCCTGTGGTTTCAGCCAATCTGACGCACAACTTGGTACATTCTTAATACTTTAATAAAAATTAAAATAGAATGCTTTGACTTACCTGGAGATATTGGAATATATATGGTCGATCATGCAGATCTTATATCTTAAAACTGAACACTCGTTGTATTCCAGTAACACTAACTTTTCCGAACTGATGATGAACATTATATTAAATAGTTTTGAGTTTTATTGTATCAATTAATTTGTGGTGGTGTTTAACCTTTAATTATTGACTCAGGTGCTAGTGCTATATCAGGTTTGTGTGCTGCAGCATGCGAAACAGCGTTTCGAAATATTAGCTCCCTGGATTCCGCACTTAAAATTCTAAAATCAAGAGGACCCCTTGCGTTCTGTACTGGGATTCCTTCTTCTTTTGTCATTTATGCACCTAATGTCATGGTAACCTCTCTCTCAAACAAGCACAATTAATAATGCGCACAACTTTATTTATCCATATGGATTTTTTTTCCCAAGTGCAGTATGATTTTTATTCACTTCAAATTGAGTATTTACTATTTTTTACGCACAATATGTACGTAGTTCCAGAAAGTTAGCTTCCGTTGGCCTTGTGTAATTGGTTGATTACGTGATGTTGGGGCATTGTTTTGCAGGTAACATGGGCTGTTTTAGAAGAAATCAGGAAACAAGAAAAGTCAATAGGAGGATAGCTATTCTAGTCAAGTTCCTAAAATGATGAGATCTGAAGTTGGTTTGGCCATATTGTATCTGCAGATACTGCTTCTTGAACGCATTCAGATTTGAAAACAGATTGGATTTTTGAATATTATTGTATTAATTAGGTGGAAGCATAACTTCTGTTAAATTAATGGTACTTCTACATTATATATGTATGGCTATATATATCTTTTGAACATGGACAATTTTTATATCTTCATCTTGGACTCTTATCTACATCTTGGATCCGTTGCCTTGGAGAGAGAGACTTTGGTGTAACGAGGTGTATATCCGCTTTGTGCTTCTCTCTCTGCTCACACATCACGTTGCATATCAAATGAGGATGCATACGGATTCCGGAAAAGATGTTGATTGATTTTAGTGTTAAAGCTCTAACATGACAACTTTGTATACTATGAAAATGGAACGGAGATCCATGGGATTAGGATGCCCTTACATCTAACTTATTCTGAAATAGTAGGCAAAGTATTAAAAAAATGCAAGAACCCTTCATGTATAATTTCCTACTATGTTGTAGTAATTTCCAAAAAAATAATTTAAGGCTTTGGGGTCTACTCTTTCCTAGATCCTTTTTTTACATGCATTTTGCCAACACTTTGCTTACTATTTTAGAATAATTTAGAAGCGAGGCTAGTGTCGAAGCTAATAGCGATGTTTTGGTGTGCCACAATGCGAGGGTTAGCGTGTATGGTATGACACGCTAACCTTCACATCGTGTCACGCCAAAACATCGTTGTTGGTCTCGACATGACAAGTGATGACAAGTGTCGCGAATTGTCGGTAGAATGCATGTCATGACACGCCATGCATTCTGTTCACAATTCGCAAGGCTTGTCATGACATGCCACGATGCGAGGGTTAGCGTGTCAAGGCAAGTCATGACTACGCTAACACTCACATTGTGGCACGCCAACTTTTTGCCAACACTTTGCCTACTATTTCAGAATAATTTAGGTGTTGGCAATTCATGCCAAGCGCAAAACTTTGGCAAAAGCATGCCAACAACAATGTTTGGTGTGTCATGATGCGAGGTTTAGCGTGTCAAAGTGTTAGAAAAATGCATGACATGACATGCTAACCCTCACATCATGGCACACCAAAACATCATTGTTGGCCTCGACATGACAAGCATTGCGAATTGTCGGCAAAATGCATGTCATGACATGCCATGCATTATGTCAACAATTCGCGAGGCTTGTTATGGCATGCCATGGTGGGAGGGTTAGCATGTTAAGACAAGTCATGGCTTGTTAAGACATGTGACATGTCATTGCACGCCGACAACGATGTTTTGGCGTGCCACGATGCAAGGATCAGCATGAAAGTGTTAAAAAAATGCATGGCATGACCAACCCTCGCATCATGGCACGCCAAAATATCGTTGTTGGCCCTGCCATTACAAGCGTCATGAATGTTGACAGAATGCATGTCATGACACGCCATGCATTCTATCGACAATTCGTGAGGCTTGTTATAGCGTGCCACGTTGGGAGGGTTTGGGACAAGTCATGGCTTGTCATGACATGTCATGCCTTGCATTTTGGCGACAACTTGCGAGGCTTGTTATGTCATGCATTCTTCTAACACTTTGCCTACTATTTCGGAATAATTAAAAAAAAAATGATCTAATAAAGAGTAGACCCCGGGGCCTAAAATTATTTTTTCAGAAATTAGTACAAAACATGATGCAAGTCATACATGAACGTGTTCTTACCGGTAAAAACACATTAATTAGTAGAACTGCAATTTTACACGTGTTCTTACCGGTAAGAACAAGTTCATTATTTGAGCTGAATATTTACAAGTGTTCTTACCTGTAAGAACACGTTCAAAATGTCCACTTCCTTGATTCCGCACTTAAAATCCTAAAATCAAGAGGACCCCTTGCTTTCTTTACTGGGTTTCCCTCTCTTTTTGTCAATTATGCACCTACTGTCATGGTAACCTCTCTCTCTCACTCTCTCTCTAACATGCACAAGAATGCGCACACATTTATTTATCTGTCTGTGGCCATATGATTTTTCACTTCAAATTGAGTATTTTATCATTTGTATACGCACAATATGTACGTAGTTCCAGAAAGTTAAACATGAGAGTGCCGGGACAGGAGCGCTGGAGCTCCTGTTGGTGCATTGTTTTGCAGATTACATGGGGTGTTTTAGAAGAAATCATCAGGAAACAAGAAGAGACAATGGAACGATAGAAATTCTAGTCAAGTGCGAGACTGCTTCTTGAACGCATTCAGATTTGAAAACAGAATGGATATGAAAGTTGAATATCATTGTATTAATTAGGTGGAAGCATAACTTCTGTTAAATGGTAGTTCTACATTATGTATGACTATATATCTTTTTAACATGGACAATTTCTATATCTTCATCTTGGACTCTTACCCCTACTCTAGAGGGTAAAACGTTGAGGCTGCCTAGACGGTCGACCAGACTAAAATGGGGTGGCAGGAATACACTTTGTGGTTGCTGGAAAAAAAGGCCTTTCTTTGTTAGTATAAGAGGAGGTGAGACTTTGTTATTTACTTTTAATTCCGACAGTGTAACATTCATCCAGTCACGAGATTTTTCGGCATGCCCGCAATATCTTCATGGTGTTCCTATTTCACTCAAAACACATCCGTATAGCGAAACAAGAAAGTGAAAATGCTAGCTCCCTGGATTGTGCCCTGAAAATTCTAAAATCAAGACGACCATTGTTTGAAGGATTTCTACGTGTTTTTTCGCGTTGCACCTCCTGCCATGGTATTCTCTCTCGCTGTTGCTCTCTCTATCGCAAACACACACGCATATTTGTCTATTTATTGGAAAGTGGTTGATTATGTGCTATTCTGCTGCATGATTTTGGAGACTTCATGGTTTCATTTAGAAAGGATTCGGAATCTCGAAGTGTCAGTTGGACTGGCAATCTGAATACTAAAGTCTGCAACAAGATGTACATAAAACGTGTAGTCAAGCTTTCCCTTTGATGTCATGTTTCATTTCCCCTTTGTTTTGTGAGTATGTAGGGGGATGTCATGCAACAGCGATACAATCACACAATCACCAATGAAAGAATCAGGAACTTGTGGAATCAGATTGGATTTGATTCCGTTAAGATCTTAATTAACTAGCTCTTAGTCTGGCAACATTTCTTTTCGAAACAGATATGTTAAAACTTGTATTTTTGCCAAGATTAGAATCTTTTTTACTTCATCATGTTTGTATTTCGGAGACTCGAACCAAATATGAATGTCAAAAATACTGCCGTGTATCATAAGGTTGACCACTGATGTCATGTTTCAAACAAGGTTTTGGTCCAGACGGTCAAATTTCATGAACGGTGAATCTGATTTGCTGCGAGTAGCCAAAATACCGAGGTGATGAAGAACATCAGATTAAGCGGTCATATATTTCGTGCTAAGGGGTTTGCCTCCAATAAACCGGTTGGTTACCAGATATGAACAACTTGTCTTGAACCAGTAGGCTAATCAGATTTAACATTAAAACGAATTCTGGCATGAAGTTTCAGAGGAACATTGATGAAAGAGAGCTTATCAGCATTTATGATAAAAACTCGTTTCCCTTCTCATAAAATCATAAAAGTGCAAAACAGATAGTTTAATAATAATGTGAAACTTTTTCCCTTTTTTATAAACTAAACTGCACCAAGAAACATTTGTTCATCAAGTCAACGAGCAAAACTATCATCCCGCTGAAAGAGCGGTATCATTTCCGCAGCCAAACTATGTTGTACGAGTAAATGTACATCACTTTGAATCAGCTACATCAAGATGGTAAAAATTATCATGAAGTTGAGCAACTCATCTTAAACAGTGGCCAATAGAATTTCCACCTCTCCATCCAATTGAAGCAATGCTATTAAGCATTATGGCTTGGCCCTAATACCAAAAGGAAAAAAGAAATGAAATAAGAGAATAGACTTGGTACAAAATCCAGAAACGCTTCAAAGTGCACGAGGAGAGTTACAATTATACAGAGGGATAATAACATTATAGCATTAACTTCAACATCTCAATCATTGGGGTCATTCTAGTTAGAATGGAAAAAAATTCTCGTCTTATAAACATTTAAAAATAAAAATTAGATACACTTCAAGCAGAAGTGAAGTAAAATGCTTATCCCATATTAACTGTGCAAGAAAATAGAACTTGAAATATGTTAAACATGCCATAAAGATGAGTATAAAATTACCTTTTAACATAAGAGTCGTCATCAGTGTCAACCACCACAGCTTCACCTTCTACAATGTGAGGTGGTACCTAGGAAAGTTTGAAAAGAAAATTTACAAAAAACATTAAACACAAACAATAATGCAATCTATGATTCATGAAACCTATGGAATATCCTCAATGCACAATGGGATGGTAGAACAAACAATAATGTAATCTATGATTCATGAAACCTATGGAATATCCTCAATGCACCATGGGATGGTAGAACAAGGTTTAGGAATGCCTACAAAAATATCCCCCTTCAAATTAGAAAGCCGTAATTTGCAAATACCTAACGTTATTTTGTAATATTAGTTACAAAGATGAATAAATTTAAATATCAAAAGTACTCGGAAAAAAATAATCTTACTTTGACAGTGAAGCCGTTTTCCATCACACCTAATATTTCCCTGCATTTTAGAGAAATATCAAGGAAATAGCAAAAGCACACAAATGATATAATAATATTACAGTGTACATTAGTGTCAACATGAGAACCGGTAACCGCTTCAGAATTTAGCTACAAGATTTGTAGGAGAAAACAGAATGCAAAGTACACCAGATAATCATCAACCCAGTCACGATCAACTATAGTAAAGTCCTCAAACCAGCACACTATGTATGTATCAGTTGATGCATCAATGGAGCCAAGTCCATAATGATTAAAAGGTCTTATCTTAGCAAGCTTTAGTTTAACAAGTTAATTGAGAAATCAATGGTTTAGGAATTGCAGGATTTTTTTTCTTCTTTCTTTTGCATACTCACAAAGTACTAAATTCCACATATACTGATGCTGAAAAAGAAAGCAACTAGTGATATGAAGTCTGAAAAAGAGACAATATTCCACAACGAAAACATACTTAGGTGCTTGTGCAGTCCCCCTCACAGGATTTTGTGCTTCCTTGACAACGCATGTCACGTGTTTCGGAACTTTAACGGATAGAGGTTTATCATTATACAGCT